ACCTATTGCTAAGACAAAAACAGGTAATTCTATTGTAGCAAAAATATGTGACTGATACCAAGTGTAGGTACTGATACCTCTTTAGTATCAGTACCTACACGTAGGTACTGATTCGGTCATGACTTTTTATTATCCCTCTCCAATTATTATAAAATACGATACAATACATTCGAATGAAAATAGGAAAACACAATCATTAGTAATATGAATCTGACAAACTCAAAAATAGCAGTACATTTATTTATAAATATATATGAAAAAAAAACGTTAAATATCGCATCCTTTATATCGCATCATTGTTAATGGATATTATTTTTGTGAGCTAATAATTTTATTAACAGAAAAGCAAATACTAACGTATCTTATGCATGGTTGTTGTATCTATAGTTGTGACCCAATAACATATATTTTTAGATTTAGTTTCTCAAAAAAAGATATCTCCTGCGGTTCTGTTTTCTATAGCTCTAATAAATTTTGTCTCTGTAACAAGTGGAAATATCTATAAACGGGTTCTACAACTCTCGGCGCAATAGAATTTCTTATCTTGGGTGTTTTTTTGCACTTCATTGCTCAAAAATTAACAAATTCCGAACCTTTATACTTAGTTAAGCATGCTCTGCCAGGCTATCTTTGTAAATTAAGATTAAATAATTCGTTTTTTTTTAAATTAACATATCAAAATGTATATATGTGACATACATTGAGATTAAATTGAATAGTTTGATTAAAAACAATTAAAATATATATATATATAAAAAGGAAATAATATGGTAAATAGATACCTAAATAGCAATGATCAAATTTATGTAAGTATGTGTATACTGTATATATAGGTATGTAATGAGGAATGAGCACTATATATAGTCATAGGTACGTATATTAGTATGTAAAAACATAAGAAGGTAGTCGGTATGTAATTAAGCACATATACTTATTGCGCGATACGAACCAAAAAATTCTTAGCCGATTTTCAATGGTCCTACGAGTGCTCAGCTATTAAGTAAGCACCTAAACTAATTTTTTTGGGAACTAGTACTTTTGTAAGTTATTTTTTAACTTCGTAAAGAGTTAAAAATTTTGATGCTAAAATAATATCTTCGGTATAAAAGAAACAAAATGTGAAAATGATCGAAGATAAAAATACAGGTCACGAATATTTTCTAGTAATTGTTTTCTTTTTAAAGATTAAAAGATTTGTCTCATTTATTGTCTTTCGGAGAAAGTATCTTTACGGTCAGTGGATGTAGAACTCAGCAAGAAAAGGAAATAATGTGACTTAGATCAGTATTTCCCCATGTTTCTATAAACAAAAATAAAGCTTATGGAAAAGTTAAGAAATAGAACAATTAGAGCAAGAGACAGAAACCTCACATAGTGAGAGAAAAGTCTGCGATTGCAATGCAATATTTTTAGTTCACATTGGCACATAACGTTTGTCTATATACAAATCGTTTGTCCCGCTGGGGTATTAGAAGAAAAATAGAAACGTTACCTATTATGGAAATAATAGGTAACTTTTCTACACATTTACCGTATCATAAAATGCAAAAAAAATCAGCCATATTTTATTACAGCTTTAAATCAATTAGAATAGACAAGTTACTTTAAAATAATAATATTCAATTTCAATTATTTTTATATAATGAGATCTAAGATTTTCGCGAGTACCTACTCATTTAAATGAAACTAATATTTTTCGGATTTTACTTCGCGTTTTATTTTTGATTAGAAAACTACATACTCCCGACGTTTCGGCTACTTTTCAGCAACCGTGATCACGGGCAGACGAGATGTTATGGTATTTTTATATACCTAACTAAACTTAATGAATTATATAATATACCTAAACTTTAATTTTTTTTATATACCTATACTTAATGCTCTTTTAAGTTTAGGTTTCCAAGGCGGACTTACACAGTTTGTTATGACCTGGTGGTCATCTTATCATTTAGGTGGAAAATTTAAATATTATTCAGTTGATTATCGAAACACGTCTATTAAGCGCTTAAAACAATTAAAATTAAAAAAAAAAAGTTTAAATTAGAGAAAAAATTAAATGGTTTATTAAATGATTTCATCATCAGCTTATCAAACCCCACTCCTGAGCAAAGCCCTCTTCTCACTTGGAGAAGGTTTAAGCATTAATCACCACGCTTGCTCAAGACGGGCTGGCAAATTCGAACTTATCATTTTAAATTACAAGTCCAGGTTTCCTCACGATGTTGTCCTTCACCGTCTGTCAGTGGTGCTTAAATATTCTTAAAAAGTACAATGATACCCACCAGGTTTCATCATGCATGACAGGCGGGCCTTTAAAGTTTAACCCCTAGGCCACCACGACCTGAATGATTTTGGTAATGGTAAAATAATTTTCTTAAAGCAAAATTATAGGAACTCTTCAGCCAGAACAATTAATTTGACTTTTTATTTTATTATAACAATAATACAAACGCTATAACCACCAGTACATGAATTCTTAATAATCCGTTTTCCATTACTAATTTAAGAACTTTTATTTTAGTCCATATTAATGTGAGGCAGTGATAGGTTAGGCAATAAAAAACAGATCGAAAAAGGGTATCATTTAAAATGTACTGCGACAGTAGGGAATTGTGCATATACTGTACTCTCAAAGAGAAAATCTTTACGAGAGGACATAATTGGGCTTTTAAAGAAAACGTTCGTCAACGTCAGCAGTTTGACAAAAGTTAAGCCAAACACAATGAAGATTGTTGGCAATTATCCAACAAATGGGCAGCTTTCGTCTGACTGTGCTGCAATAAACCTGTATCTGTATGTAATGATTTCGATTCACACAAATGGATTTTTTTTAATTTTTTGTAATTACAAAAACAATTATCCAGGATGTTTAGGTAGAGAGAGGAGTTTGGACGGACGGTGAGCGTTTAACGAGCCTTAGATAGGAGCCCCTTAAACCTACACCTGGGTCGCAAGTCCCAGGCACTGTTGAAGATCCTCTGCCAGCAACGCGATGCACCCGGCACCCGCACGGTAAATTTATTAAATGCCAAGAAGTTTCATCTAATTATATTGTTTTATATCGTCTTAAGGTGATTGTTTTTTATGCTTTAGGTCCAAGCCTATGCTATTCCAACTTTAAACTTTGTAAATTATTCATCAATCCTAATTAGTACAAAATATAAACTCTAGAAACAAATTATGTCGGCTTAAAAAATCAGTTAAAAAAATGAAAAAAGAATAAAGAAAAATACTATTTTCTAATTCTTAAATAGATGAATAAAAAGCTTTACATTGAATTCAGAACAGAATTTGAAGTCATACAATTACTATTGAACATTTAGATACAATTAAATACTTATTGTCAAATTTTCTATTATAAAGATTATAAGTGCAAAATAAACTGCACATTAGATCTGGCCTCTAGTCTTATTATAATATTTCTGATAACTTCCACTCCATTCCTGAGAGAAAGACAACACCGAACTAGGTATTGTATTGAACACAAGTAATTAATTTATCAATAGTAAGCCCCACCAACCCAGTTCTGTCCAGATTAAGTCTTCTAGATTAATTTTGTATTTTAAAACCCCCATATTTTAATCTCAATAAATAATTTTAATATAAGCACAACAATAATTTTAATATAAGCACAATAAAAAAAGTGATTTTAATAATTGTATTGAACGGTACAATAATAATGTTAAATGTTTTCTGATGTTCAGGTAATGAGATTAGGATTTAGTATGTTCAGAATTGTATTTTGATTTTTAGATATTGTTTCATACATTGATCTGGTTTAAGTAAAATATTATGTAAGATAAATAAATTTAAGTTATATTATAAGCACTGTACAAAAAAATTACAAATTAATATAGATATTTTTGGTTTGATAACCACCAATAATCTATTAAAATTACTAGTTCCTGAAATGCCTACTTCATTTAAGAAAATTCTAATCACATTTCTATTATATATATAGGTACATGTTTATTTTAAAATTAATTACCACTTTTATGTCTAACAGGATGTTACTATTTAAATAAATGAATACATTTTAATGCAACATATTTTATTAAAATTACCATTCTCAAACTTCATCACATAAGGGATCGTAAGCAACTTACATCATCTAAGTAATAACTAAAGTAAGAACTGCTTTGATATTATGTGCAGTTTTCTGCTATGGAATATATTTATATTGGCATTATTTTTTTGTTTAACATAATTATATCACAAAATGAATTAATCTTAGTAATAGTGTGTAGAGAACATTTAAACAAAAATTAATTTGTGCATGTAGGAATCAAAATATTTAACATATTTTTTTAAGTTTTCAAACATTATACAAACCAAATATTACATAACAATCATCAAATTATTGAACCTATATTTGAAAATGCACGACAATTCTGATTAAGAAATAAATGATTAAATGAAATTCATTTACAATAATGCTTTATACATTGTACATTTCTTTTCTGTAAGAAAATAGTATGGTTATATTTATTTCTGATACAACAAAAAGTTTTCGGAATATTATAAGGCCTATTTGTTTCTGACAAAAATATATATACCTTATGCTATGGTAGCTTCACCAGAAGACCAAAATGTATATTTCAATGTTCTACTCATTAATTGATGATAGGACTTCATTTAATGTTAATTTCTGGTGAACCTAGCATAGCTTACACACCACAATACCATCATACATTCAATTTACATACACCACAAGGTTGCACCAAATACAATAGCTTGTCCATGAAGATTAGCCCAATACAGGCAGATTAATTCAGTATCCATGAGCAATTACCATGACTTATCACAATCAGAATAAACTGGTTACATTCAAAATACGAAAATACTCGCCAAAGACTTTACATAAATAAACAATTATATATTTTTTAATGAATGTTACATGTGTGTGCAGGCAAAGTTAATATGCCTTTAAATCCGCATTTACCTAATTCCTGGCAATCATTTCCACATTACACTCTTTATACACAAGTACAAATCACATCTCACCATTCCGCATCACCGTTGGCTTTTTGAAAGACGTAATCTTTACCTGATAAATTCATTATACCATCCTTTAAATGGAACTTCCACTTGTTGCGGCTGCGTGTGATTTTATCGTATTGACAAACCACTACATTGTCAGTGTCGAACATATCGCCTGGTTCCTCATCGGACACATCATCCCCCGAGTTGAGTGGTTCTTCCTCGGCCCCACCACTTTCATCTCTTTCCTCCTCCTCTTCCTCTGCTCTCTCTTCCGCAGACTCCTCATCTTCATCCTCGTCACCAGCACCCTCCTCTGAACCATCCCCAACAATTGAACCCTCATCATCAGAAGAATCTAATGCACCGTCAAGAGAAAATGGAGCTGCACCACTTCTACCTCCCCCACCTCCGTCAAATTCATTTTGTTGACCGGCTAAAGTTGAATTTATATGTTGCTGTAAAAGAGTCGCAGCTAAGGGTTGAGGCAAACTAATTGTTGCGTTTATTATAGGACCTGTCAAAACTTGGTGTAGTTTGTTCCCGTTTAAGGCTGACGCTGGAATTTGAATAGTAAATGACCGTGGCTGTGACCCGGGCACACCGGGCTGAGCGGGTAATGTCAATTGCACTGGCACTTTATTATTTGGATCAATGCCGTGATGAGGATGAGTCCCAGCTATGTTTGTAGGACCACCGTGCTCGCCTCCAGAGTGGCTTGAACCTTGAGATGCCATATCTGGAGCTCGTTTAGGTAATATACTGCCTCCATTAGCTTTAGGAAAGTTCTGTAGTAATACTGGTGGAGGAGGCATCGTTGGCGGATCGGGATGTGGGGGATCCATTGCACCACTTGCGGTTAATTTAGTTTTCCATAACTGTTTTAACTCTTGTAATACCGTTTCGTCTACACCATCGTCAAGAAAACAGTCCCGCACTCCGGCTATCACATCATCCACTACAGCATTATAAAGTTTTAGAACAGATAATTGATTCGTCATATTGAAGATATGTTAGATACAGTTTTTGTAAAGTTAAAGGTTTAGTAAAGAATACTATATGTTTAAATCTCAATGAGAAATAATAAATGAAGAAGAGGAAATGCGTATTGCCTATTGTATTCCAATCTCATCTCAAGACTCAATGTCAAACAGTGTTAAACAGTATATGTTACGCGGCCATTGATGATATATGCTAAATATTCGATAATTCAAATAACATTAACAATTCACAAGGAAATTATTGGTAACGATAAGGTCTTCCACATTTTAACCAAATTAGTCCACAAAAAACACTCAACTTTAATTTTGACAATTGACGACTAAAACATAACCTACAAACAAAATGCAGAGTTCTGTACCAGACTACAAAAAATTGTCTATGGTACTCGCTTCTAAGATGTCTGAACTACGCATGCGCAATGACAATGGTGCCTTTATCGATGCCCCGCCCGTTTACCTGGCACTTAGAACTTTGTTATGACTTGGCTACTTTATTTTAAATATATTAATCCAGTCACCTACAAGAAAGCCAAACAAATTAATACAATAATGTATAAGTATTTCACATTCATCGACACAGATCATAGTCCCGTAACATTATCATTACAGACTTGACGCAAAATAATGTCTATTAAAATATTAAGGATTATGATATATGCTTCGTGTTTTATAATATTTTAAATTTCTTACAAATTTTCATGAACTAGAAATTATACTCTATGATAGATATATTGCTTTTTATAAACCCAGTGAGGCCTCCGGCAACAGATACTTGGTTAAATTTGTATGAATTCCAATTTTGAAATGAATTTATTCTTATATATTTTTACATTCTTTTTAAAAGTAGGTACGATAAACATATGAAATAGAATATAAGAATGATAATGCATGTGATTTTTTTAAATAAAATTAAAAATGTATATTTACTCAAATACACTTCGTAAAATAATATGTAAATACATATTACAAGTAAGTAGTAGAAAACAAAAATTGTATGTGTATTTTAATTTTCTTTATGGGGTTGAAATAATGTTCGCATTGCTTGTAAAAGTAGTGTGGTTTTGCAGAACAACGATTCAAACGAAACTTTTTTTGGGTCATAGGCATTTCACTCAAAGTTTGCTTAAAATTGTTCGAAATTGGGTTATGAAGTCGCATTTCAATATAGTAACCAAAGAGCTAACAGTCTTGTTTACTCGTGTATTATTATATATATGATTTGGTTATGGATGTCTCTCCAACCATAATTTATAATATTAAATTACATACTACAGTACGAAATGTATTTGGTATTATATTCCTATTTATGTAGGCACCTATATCTTATTCAATTTCTTGTAGATACGTACTCATGTCGTTATTTCTGTACCTACTTGTTTCCTTTACTGGAAGGATTGCTGGCAGACATTTCTATTAAGAGATAAGTTATAGGTACTCTGTGCACCAAATTTGTTTTAAAATATTATAATTTTGTCTTTGGTAATTTTATAATTACTAAAATGTTACGGTTACTTGATATTATGTGCTTTAGCCTGTTACTGTAGCTTTTTTTTTAATGTGAAGCTTGGCAAATGAGCAAACGGCCCACTTGATGGAAGGTGGTTACCGTCGCCCATGGACATCCACAACATCTTTGTTGCGGATGCGTTGCCAACCTTGTTTTTTAGGGATAGGGAGGGGTGGGAATAAGGAAATGATAGGAAAGGGTAGGAATAGGGAAAGGGCAACCGGCTCTCTCACTCATCGGACGAAACGCAGCCATAAAGACTACTTCACGCCGATCTTCTGTGAGAGGGTGGTACTTCCCCGGTCGAGCCAGCCCATCTTTGAGCTGTAGTAACTGACCACAACTAGGCTCTACCACCTACAAAACACTTTTCACTTTATATCTCCTTCTTAGCCGGTTGTCATTTGATATGAAAGAAACTTAGAAACAATATAATAAATGTTTATTTATGTTAGGTACATTTTAAACTCTTTCCGACATTGTAAAACAGAAAAGTATAAGAAGTCATGATAATTTTTGAATTCACAAAATGAAACCTAATGTTAATGAAAGTTTTGACATTTTTATTTAATGTGAACTCTTTTTAGGTTTAGGTTAGGTTAGCTACCTATAGTTCTATATCAATATTTATCTTTGTTTAGTCTTTATTTATTTTTGAATAATAACTATATAAATATATTTATATTTTACACTATGAATATCTTAAAATGATTAAACTTTTCTAGGTGATGGTTTACTTAGAGATTAATTTTAGGTACCTATATTATATTTTTTGAAGATCGGCCGCGTATTTAATATTGGAAGATCAAACAAACAATTCTTCTTTAGTCTTATCGGTATAATTTGTATAAAAAATTATTGTATTTCCTCAAAGAAAATAAAATTCTTTTCGGTTCAACCTAATGATTGTTGTAACTTTATGTACTTTCAACTAACATTAGAAAAGGAGGATCAATTCATCGGTATTTTTGTTTGTTTATAACCTAATAACTTTAGACTCCGTGAAGAGATTTTACCTAAGGATTTTTTTTATTTGGAAGCTGGTACTTCTCGATTGGTCCCATTTCAATTTGGTTCAGTTCAGAATGTCCCATGGTGATTATAATAAGACTTGATTATGAAAATGGAGGAAAATCATTAAAATGTGTAAGCATTCATAATAAACATTACGTAATGGAATTACTTAAGCTGTATTCTGTGTGAACTTTATAGTCGGGTGATAGATTTCGTAATCTTGTTATTAACTGACTTAAAAAGAGGAGCAGGTTCACATTATGTCAAAATCTTTTTTTTATGTAGTTGCAACATTTCCTAAACACCACCGGAGCGTTTTAATAAACTCTTTGTTTATCTGGAAGGTTGCATCACCCCAGTTGGTCTTGTGGTTACCAAGTCAGATTTTATAATGGGATCCTCTAAAAACTTACGAAAATGAAAAAAAAAAATAAGGCAATCAATTCTCTACTGTAACATTTAGTGTAGATAAACAAAAACTCTTTTTATTTACTTTCCAATAATCTACTACCACTATCTTACCTTACTACTTACTACCTTACATTTAGAATTTCATAATATCTAATCAACTTTTGAATTCGGTGCTTTATACGGATTGAGTAAATAAGTAAATAAACACTAATATATAATAATATAGTATTAAATTAGAAGAAGCTAAAAGTAATCTAAACCTGTATTTAACTAAGCTTGATTGTAAGTTCATTGCAATTCTAATTTATTACTCTTTAAAAATCTTCCATTCTTCTCCAGTACTTTCTCTGTGAAAATATTATTCCGAGTATGTTAATTAAGTTTTTGTAAGGCTTCTTTGAAATTAATCTTATTTCTAATAAGACGACAAACTTACTAAGCTCTTTCTGTGTTCCGTTCCATGAAAGTTAGTTCCTTATAAAGTTTATATCTATTTTAGTCAATTCTTACATGTGGTGAAAGTTATTAAGATATAAGAATTAAACAAAGTAAAAACCTTAAGGATGAAGCATTAGCTTGTATTAAAGAAGTCACAGATTTGTATGCAGTTTGCTCTTAATTGCTTAAAATAAAGCAAATAAAGCTAAGGTTTTCGGATATTTCGGACAACGAATTTTTTATTATTATTATGAAACTACATATTTCGGTTCCTTTTCAGCAACCGTGAACACGGGCAGACGAAATGAAAATGTCGGGTGTATGTAGTATATAAATCTGTACCTAATATGTGTAGTATATCTAAAAATATTAGTTTTATTTAAATGAATACACTCGAAAATATAAGACATAATTATCTTAAAACCAATTTAATTAGTAAAAAGAATTTATATACTCTTGTTTCTTATTTTTATTATATTAATTAAAGGTTCTTAACTTTTCATCCAATACATACTTGTGGTGTTTCTGTATACAAAGGATGGAGAGGCGGCCAGCAGGCTATTTGTGCGCGATCGATACGCCAGGGAATGCCATTTCATTACTGGCTCACCTGAACCATCTGCCATAGGATGTATTGTTCATACCGACCTCATATAAACAAAGGCTTTTAGCGTTCGTTTATGCTTTGTAAGTTTAAATAGCCTTCGATATTGAAACTATTTTGTCATTATTATACGTACACAGTGTTTGCTTTATAAAGCTACATATTTTGAAATATTTTGGCTCGAATTTAGAACAACTTATGCGTATATTGTTATGATTTTTTTTTTTGCTTTGTTATAAAGTAGGTACTACTTGAAAGAAGTGTGGGTCATTTCTATACAATTGCGTTATGGATTTCCCGAGAGGTCTAGTTTTGACGAGTTATAAAATGGTACATCGTTTATAATACAACAAATAAAGATTCTGAATTCTTGGTTCTAAAAGGAAATTTATGAATATTATCTTGAATATTTTTTTTTGCATATACATAAAAGTACATATTAATAACAGTGTATGCGTCTTTATTCTTTGTGAAAACAAAAAAGAAATATGCATACAAAAGCTGACGTTTGAAGCTCAAAAAGACTGGAAAGCAAACACCACCGGCTTGCCGACGAGGCTTTCTTTTGAACAAAAAACCCGTTTACTAAATCGTTGTAAATGAGGCTTTGGAAAAACTGTTCTCTGTGACACTATTCACGTCTTTGGATTATATAATGTCGGTTGTTCTCACCTCACTTGCAGAGACTTAACACATACCTTGATCCATACTGACCTACCAGCACGTAAGAAGAATTTATTCTCTAAAAAAATCAGAACTACTGCTTTGTTTGCCCACTAGAGACTTCAATTCTAAGCTGATTTCTAACAAAATTCAGAAATAATGAAAACGATTTTTATTCAGTGCGTTTTTGATGCTATTTTTATCAAATTACGTCATACGTTTAAATTTACCATATAATCAATTTGTAATTTGTTACACAATGAATCATGTTTAGCTGTTTTGTTATCAAACGTACTTGTTTGTTATATATTGTTATATGTACATTTAATATATAGTAATACTTTTATTTGTATCCAAAAAGCT